CCCTCCCCTCCCCCCTCCTCTCCAAACAAAATCACATGGATATCATCCTTTAGTAAAAACTACACGGTTACTGAATTTCTAACCTTCTGTTTGGCTGTGCGGAAATAATTCAAAGTAAGTAACGGAAAATTGAGCAGTTTTTATTTGTTAAATGCGTAACATTAGTTGTTTACATGTTGTGATAACACTTGCGTCAAGCAAAAGTTACTTATCTTCCGGTCATTCCAGATAAAAGCTAGTTAGTACAAATGTTTTTTAGTATACGTTTTAACTATAACCATTATTCTACTCAGGCCTGCCGAATATTAGATTATTATTATTACCAGCTCGACGCTACGCGCCTCATTGGTTATTCATCATCTCATAATCGACTTACCCACGTAGAATAATCGTTAAGCAAACGAGTTGAGCTTTTAATTCTATTTGAAGCCGATGGATTTTACAATGACCAGGATCACGAGACGCCAAGCTTATGACGCGTCTTATTAGGGGGCGAGTTAGAGCTACATGTTTGCAATCGTTAAGCCACCATTTTTGATTTAGGTGCAAAAATCTCTTTCACTTCTCACCCTTTCCCAGATCTAAGATGGTAAGCACGCTTTTTTAGGATGAATTACCGAGAACATGCCTGCACTGTAAAATGGAGGCACAAAACGAAATACAGTGGTCGTGGAAGGTAGGGAGAGCAAATTATAGATATTGGATACGTCAATGGGGTTATCTAGAGTACATCAAACATATGAGCTGCCACACCTGTCCATTTAAGACGCCTGCTACAAACGCCGTTTCAAAGAATGTTCTGAACTCAAATTCCATTTTTGACTCCCCAGTGATGTTGAACTCTCCCATCGTCTGTTTCAAATGACCATCAGGTATACCGAAGAAGCTGCTTCCTGGAACAGTATCCATCTGGACTGCAGGCCTGTTAAAAGAAAGAGTAGAAGTTTTCTGTAAGTGTAAAGCACTTGGCGCCTTGTTCAGTTTATACAGCGACTGTGATACTTTAACCCAATATAACTAACACTGGCACTGCTGAATCGCAAGAGTGTTATACCTTCTGGAGCAGAAAGATCGATTTCCTTGCACCTCAACTGGCTCCCACAGATTCAGGGCCTCCTGATTGAGTACAACGTTATCAATACAGCCATCAAAGTACCGATCACTCTTGTTTACCTGCATTAGAAAAGAGTTTTGGTCTTAAATGAAGGATCGCTGTTATGTTAGTTTGAATTTTTGAAAGGAATAGACACACATGGTTAGAGAGTTCCCTCTTCGTCTTATATTCCTACTCGCTCCGTTTTTGTTAATCCTTCACGTTCTAACATCAGTGTTCATATTCTCCATACTGTTCCCAATACATCGCCTAAGGTACTGACAAGAAAAATTTGTTCAACAATCAAGAGGTTCTTTAGTAGGTGATCATTTCCTTTATTCTCATGACCTTAATATGTGATTCAGGGGTGATATTGGGAGGAAAAATTAGATGCTGGTCACTCAGAGAGTTGCTGCGCAGTTATTTCAATGAAACGTTCAAGAATTTCATTTCACCCACCATGACTCCATCCGGAAGACCTCCAATGTGAACGAGATCATTTAAGCGGAAGTCAGTGTCGATAACTGAGGAAATTGTGTCCGAATCGCTCTCGTAAGTCCGACTAAAATTTCTACTGTGGTCTGTCACTGTTAAACGCCCATCCGTCTTGTATCTATTAATAAGAAAACATATCAGAGGAAAAGGTTATTATAGAGATGTATATTGCTGTAACACGAGGAAGAAGAGTTTACTAATTACAGCGTACTGATTTTCCTTCCTTAGTTGAATAGCGTTTCATTTGGAAGTAAGGATTAACAATTGACTGACAACGTTACTGACCGGGTGGCGTAGGCTGTGTACCAGTGCCCAGGCCTCACCGGCACTGCCCAGTTGGTGATGGTTATTGGTCCTGTGCCAAGGGTGTACTGAAACCTAACATAGGACCCGGCCTCTAGAGTCACCGCCAGTGCGCTATTAGACTCATCCGATAAGTAAAACAGTGCACCCTGTACTCGTGTCGCTCGGAAGTCCATTCTTATCTCAGTGTACGTGGTCTTGTTTATTAAGCGGGATGTTGGGTTATACCGCACAACCGTGCTTCCTTGCACATTGAGAGCGAGACGAATCTACAACGTAGATAAGAATTAGTAAGATGACCTTACACGATCGGTTTGACAAGTTAGCCGGCTCCAAGATACAGACTTATTGTCGGAAAAAATTAAGTGAACAGTTTACAACAACTTCTGGCTGAATTTTTGTCTTGAACGAAAAAAAAACCCACACACAAACGAAAAGACATTTCATCACAAAAAAAACATTAAGAGGTAAAAGCGACTGAAGACAATTTTCAGTTTCAAGGACTTCCAATCGCAATAAAGGTCCAACGCACTAGGTGTACGCCCTACAGCTTTACTACGAGTTCTAATTCATTGCTGGCTACATACACCTTGCACCTTGTTGTGTTCTGGTTGTTTCTGACAGCTTTCTTTCAGTATGCAAGTAATAAATAGCATGGGAAATGGTCACAGAATACAGCCGCACCCTGCTACTATCCTTTGTCGAGGGCGCAGTGAACAATAAGAGCTACCCGAGGAAAGAAAATAGTCCTTCAATCGAACCTGTAATCAACCATTTCCCAGCAAGAAAGTTAAACAGAATTGTGCCTTATATTTCCTTTTTTTTTCGTTGTACTAATTAGAATTTGCATTAACTCTTCGTCAGGTTAACAGCGCATTCTGCGTTACCTTGGCGACATATTCTCTCGCTCTCCTGAGCTTTTCATCCAGTGCTGTCATGTTTTGTTTCAATTGAGCTTGTAAGGAAACTGTTATATTCCTGAGACGATCGGATTCCTGTACCGCGTCATCCACACTGTCCAATGATTTACTAGCATTTTGTACTGTATCAGAAAAAACACATTAACGGCAACGCTTTTTCTATCAGTTCCAACTATGGGATATTAACGCTTCCCTCCTGAATGTTACGTGATGACAATTCTTACTTTCAAAGCACATGATAGGGAAATCAAAAGTGGGTGTTGAGGGTATTTTTGGAAAAGACTATTGCTAATTTCAGGGACAGCATAAACGAAAGCTAATAATAAGCTTACAATCCAGTCACTAAAAATTGCTTTGTTTACTTCTTTTACTGTGAATTGTGACATTTGGTTAAAGAGACTACCCCACCAAGAGCTCTCTTGCTCTCTGCAGTCATTTTGAATCAAATTTTAACTTATAAAGCAGGAAAGTAAGAAATGGAAAATCATGTCTTGAGAATTTTCAAGAAGTACAGACCTACTACTGATCACATAAACCACAGGCTTACCATTATCAAATGCCTGGTTCATCAGCACAGCAGCTCTCTCCGCTGACTGATTAATTGACTGCATCCTTTCCTCGAGTCTATCCACTTGATTCAATAGGGATGGTACGCCATCATTAACTGGATTAGAACGATACATCGCCTCTTCGAAATTATCGGTGGCACTCTTAGAATCAGAAACGATAGAGTGAGAATTGCTTCCTACTTCAGCAGCCTGCATCAGTAAGTCTCGGCTGGATAGCAGCGAACTATACTGAGCATCAACTGACTCCCCAGTCATTACAGCATTCATGTATGTCCGGTTTGATGATGTCACATTCGCACGTAGTCCTGAAAGGAAAAGATAAATGTGTTACCTTCTTATAAGGAAAACGCGAATTCCCCTCTAACACGAAGAGAAATCTGTTGGAAAAAAATAAACGAACAAAAAACCAAACAAACGTAGATACAAAAAAATAAGGATTAATACTGAAGAAGGGAAAATAATGTAACACAATTACTCATCTCACCTACTCTTGTCCTACGTTAGAACAGAATTTCCGACCCCGATTTAGGACTTTTGACGCACTTACAAAAGTTGAATCAAATAAATAACAAAATAGTGCACAACTGGCTGGCAAGCATTTGAGTAAGATGTTTACCTGGTAAGTTTATATCTCTGTCTAAAGTTTCGTTCAAGAGAGTTTCACTCTTATCTCGAGAGGAAGCAACTCGTGTTTGAAGGTCAGAGCTTACTACAGTGAGGTTCTCGAGCTGGAGGAAAAAAAAATAGAAAATAAAATTAAAATTAAACGGTCAGTGATACACAAAAATAAGAAATAAAATGACTCTACTTCTACTGATAAAAATGATGATGATGACGATGGTAATGTAAAGATGATGATCATGATAATGATAATAATAAAAAAACAATAAATGAGAGAGAGTTCACAGAGACGTAACAGAAATTCATAACTACAATTGGGAAATGGAGGAGAAGTCTGCCAAGACTACTATGATAAAGGGTAGCTTTGCGAGGAAGTAACTAGGACGTTGTCTTATAGCTCTCGATCAGTGGTTCCTAAGGCTAAAAAAAATGCATCGTAATCTAGATCATGGGTATGGTTATCACTCTGCAGCGCAAGTAAAAAAGTTTCACTGTCCCTTGTTTTACCACCTGCTGTCCGCTGTGGCTTTTCAGCTCGAAAGTAAAGAAGAGGATAACAGTTTATTTGTTTTAAAAGACTGACCAGAAATATCATATAAAGCAGAAGATCAGGAAGTAACAATCAAGTTACTCACTCGGTTCATGATTTCCTGAAGCGAACTGTTCACTTGCTGTGAGGTTTCCAGTGACTGATTTCCCAGCACAACTACTTCTTCGAATGTTTTAATAGCATCCACTGCACGTGCCCCGTGCGCAAGAGTGTTGTTAAACACGCTGAAGGGAAAGAAGGTGACATGACAGTTTGGCCTTCACTTGTGCTTCCAAAATGGAAATGAGCGATAGTCGTGCACGGTTGTATGTGACTCGAGCGTACAGGCAATAACACCCTTTGCCATACCTGTGGCCATGTCCAGCTCCTCTTTAAAGTCTTTCTATAAAGTCTCTGACCATTGAAGAAGGACGTAAAATTGACTTTGTTTGCTTTTCTCGTTCCTAGTTGCCGCACGGTTTTTAAGATTGCCGGAGCCTGATAATCAACACCTACGCAAAAACGCCGGAAATAGCCTTTCGGAAAATATGCCACGACCGCAGAGTAATTTTAAGACTTTGGCTTTTCCATAAGAAGCCTGAGTAATAGAACCTGCATTGATTTTACAGCAAATAGGAAAAACAGCGTTGAGTTTTTTGACCAGTGGGTATTAAGAAGCCTAAGTTGTATCAGCACTCCCTTACCTTTGCCTTTCCCTGGCCAAGGCTGTCAAATTAGCTGCATGTTTAGTAGCATTTTCCAGGACACTTTGGTTTGCAGCAGACACCTCTGGACCCACAGCTGTTAGAGAGTTCTCCAGTGTATTCATGTCTGCTTGTAGACCACCGATAAGATCACTTGTATTCTGTAGCAAAAACAGTCCAACATCGTAAATAATCAATTATTCACCACAACTAACTTTTTATATGCACACGTTGTCGCCAGTGTTAAAAAGTATTCAGCAGGAACAATATTATCTACCATCTCGTCAAAAGAAGAGTTTCCCTAAAGACACAGCGATATAGAACTCACAGAATCCATGATTTACTAAAGGTCTATTCTTTTTCAAATCAATTTGTTTGGTGTTTTCTTTCTCTTCTTCTCTTTTTTTTAGTCCTCATATGTTTACCAGTTCGTCTCTTTACACCTGAAGAAAACCACAGCTCCTTTTTAAACTTTACAGAGCCTGTAAAGTAATCTTCCATAAATAGCGAGCTAAATTATATTCCTTTTACATCATGCGAGTCCAGTTACTCAACTTTCCTCTTCATTCAACTCCGCGGCTTATGCACCTGTAGACCAAACACTTCCGCCAGCCATACAGGCTGCACAATATTTCCGTACTTTGTTAGAACTCAAGTCACTTGTGACAAACATTTGACATTACCTTGTAGTAGCTATGACCAGTTGAAACGTACTGGCTGCTCCTGTTTAAAATTCCAGTGACAATCTGAAGCAACTCAAGAGCATGATCTGTTGTGTTTCTCGCTTTATCAATTAAGTTCTGTAAGACAAAGTTCATCAAATTAGTATAAGGGATAAGTTGCTAAAGAAACTGTGGTGCTGCGATAATGCGGTTATCACAAGATAATAAGGTTTTTAATCAATTGAGTTGATAATTAATTTGGCCACCGTAAAGACTTTCTAAAGCAGACGTTTCACCCATTCGTCAGGGGCTTCATTGAATACCCTGTTGTGTGGTAAAAACTAGCTTGATACTTGAATTAGGTACTTTCGATGTTCAGCCGAGACATTTAAAGAAAGGTCTATCGCACAAACAAAAAATTTGACGCAGTAGAACATACCTTAGTTTGGTTCATAAGAGCAACAGCTTCGTTGGTTCTATCAGTGATTGTAACAATCTGCGGTTTCATCAGATCAAACATTCCATTTGAGATCAAGTAGCTTCCTTGAGCCTGCAGCATGGTCTTGTTGAGGTTTTCTGACATGTTCTTATGAGATGTCACATTGTACTGTGCTGACATAGCAAGGCTGTGGGCGGACTCCACCGACTGAACCTCCTCATCAACTCGCTGCATTTCCGTCTCATACGTCTTATTTATAATGCCACTTATACTTCCCAATACACTGTCTGCATGGTCTCTCAGCTTGGTCAGTTGATCCAATATTTCAGTAACAGTACCATTCAATGCTGTAAGCGAAACACACACAGTCTTAAGTATTTAAACCTTTAATAATTCTTCAAAAGAGAGCTATACGTACCATAACTTTCTCAAAACCAGATGAACAATCTGAGCCTCTCTTTAAGGAATTAGAGATTCTTAAATTAACTGATCTTGTTATCCTTCACAATGCACTTTTTATGTATTACTATTACTATAATCTTCTTCCATGTTCCTTAACATTTAAAAACAAAGTCAAATTAAACATCTCACAGTCTTACTGTTCATGAGCTTTCAACTGGTCTCTTCTTCTTCTTCTTCTTTTTTCTTTTCTTATTTTTTATTTATTTATTTTTTGTCCTCTTTTTGACCGATAATTTGCTTTGCTCAAGCTTTAGTGCCAACCTATGTCCTATATTTAAACATTATTTACTTTTACTCAGCTAGATTAGCTTTTCAGTTATTCTGAGTAAATGTTACCTTTTTTGTATTAATATATTATGCGTGTAAATTAAGTTTAACTTCTAAATTTGGTAATAAAGCTTGTTGTTTAATCGCAGATAACATCAGCTTAGAAGTTCAAAGTATAGTTGCTTTAATTTCATCAATTTCCAGTAGAATTTACTAAAGCAGTATCCACGCCATCTAAAAATTTACCCATTTAGAAACTACGTAACGAATGTCATTGTCCTCACTGTCCGCCCCTACTTTTAGCTAAGTATATGAAGACTGTTCAAGGAAATAGAACATGTTCAAAATTACCACTGAAGACCATACACGTGACAAGCTAAACTAGTATGTCACATGATTTAGTACAACACTGGATAGCATTGAAGGCCAAATATCTTTTGCTATTCACCTCTGGACAACGCGCACGGGATTTCCTCTGAAAATATTTACCTAGTAGTCTCCACTAACCACAGACACTGAGATAAATAGTAGATGGCTTAGCGAAATTTCACTAATGTAAATTAATAACACAAGTTACGCATAGTGCGTTGTACAGACCTGTTACGTTGTCTTTCGAAGACTGAGTGTTCGCATTTAATTCTTCAATCTGGAGTAACTCGCGAGAGACGATGGCTGTCAAATTTTCGCTTTCTTGTGATGTCCTTGTCAACTGAAGGGATATTAAGAGCAGTTAAAATCAGTTTTTGTCAGAGTATTAATGGCGGGATGAAGGAAAGGAACTCAGTCCCCCGATAGAACTACGATTGCCTTCACACCGATAGAATTCTCTAAATCTACAGAACTTGTGTTGGTGTAGACCATAAACATTGTTTTACGTTCACTTATGAATATCAAGGTGTTAACAAACAGATAAACTTCCGACACCCCTTCAGAATTGATGACTGGATGCCAAACCAACTGAGCAACAGAAAAGCTATTGGCGATAGCTAGATCGTTTTTTGTTTAATTTTCAGTATCTTACCATGTCTTGTAAGTCGCCGACAGTTCTGTTTGGAGTGCTCTTTTCTAGTTCAGTTATGTTTTGAAGAAGGCCTTTCACCAATATGTCAAATTCAGCTGAAGATTTCTGCGAAAAAAAAAGAATCTATGTTAAGGCTCAGTGTAAATGTACCAGATTCAAACGTATCTATCGACCTTGGACCGTTTGGACAGGAGTCTAGCAGATTTTACTATTGCCTACTTGGTTACTGAATCAATCTTTACATGACCACTGATGAAAAGTTAACATGCATAATTCGATTCTTTACAGTGTATCTGATGCAACTAGGACATCCAATCAGAGCAAGGCCTGTTCATACTCGACAATACAAGCCCCGTATACTCTTTGGCAATTTAAATTTGAGTGACACCCTATTCACACAGCTTTGGTTTCTACTTATTTTCCAACAGCCAACGACCCCGTAATGATTCCAATTCATAAAACCCGTACGAGCCACAAGTATGCGAAAGTACTTTGTGATCAAAGGTTAAGTGTTCACATTTACCCAACAAATTAGTGGCGTCAACACATCACCGGTAAACAAAAAAAATGAGGTTTTTCATGACATTCGATCAGATGAAATTGAAAACGTCGGACTTTGTAAATTCAGTTCTGCCCTCTAAATGGCTTTTTACAAATTGTCCTGATTGGCCCGTTTCCAGAAGATGCACGGAAAATGTACTGGAGTACTTTCACGACTTCCAGAAAGAAGAAATCCCCTTTACACACTGAAATTCGGTGATATTATATTTTTGAGTCCTTCAACTGCACTTTGTAAAGTTCCACAAACAACCAAACCTTTGCTTCAGCGATAAGACCCTCGACTTCCTCTAGCTCGGGCCACAATTTTTTTAAGTTAGAAACCGTATCAGCTTTCTGTTGAGCATCTTTCAAGATTGTTAGAGTTGTGTTAAGATCCCCTTGTAAACCAAGTCTGGTGCAACGTGGACATGCTGTAAACAGAACGAAATCCTCGGTTGTTATATTAGCCTTGTAGAAAATATCGACTACTTATATATTATGGTAACCGAGCTTGTGATTACAATTTGATTTGTAAAAAAGGCATCTTTTTCATCATCATTTTTTACTGGCAAGGCTTGTAGGACTTATCCTTTAAGTAAATTGTTGACTTGGTTTTCTGAAATTTTATTACAACGATGAAACTGTACTCACGGTCACAGCCATCTCCTGAGAAGTTCGTATGTTGTACCATGCATTGGTCACACACTCTACTTGTTACGCCAGGTTTACAGTAACACTGGCCTGTTGTGCGGTCACATCGCGTGTGATTGTCTGAGCCAGTGTCATTGCAGTTACAATCTGAAAAAGAGGTGCGAAATATTGTTAGAACTTTTGGATTGCTCGTCTTGAAGAAAGAACACACCATCAGCAAATAACAATCTTTGAATTAACTGCCAACTGATGAATCCATCAAGAAGATATAATTATAGAAAATAAAACAAAAACAAAGCAAACAAATAAAGTGAAAACACATGAATTCCTTGCTCCTTATTTGAAGGAACCATGTTATGTTTCTCAGTACATCTCGTAACTTCCGACTGAGTTTTTCAAGTTTTTGATTTGCAATCTGTTTTAATCTCGTCCATCCTTAGCAAACCTTTTATGTTTTAGAATTACCTCTTCCGTCTTTTTTATTTAATTGAACTATTATGCTGTACTCTCTTTAACTTAAAGTTAGATTAGCACAGCTAAAAAAGAACTCTTCGCAAGGCGAAATAGCTCCTACAATTATTATCAAAACACCCGGAGCCACAAGATCTATTGAAGATATAATACTTGACTGTTTAGTTTCTTTTTTCTATTAACAAATAACAATCCCTTCATATTTAATTGATGACACGTAGCATGATCATTACCTTGACACGTGGCGTTAGGAAGTCCAAAATACCCCCACTCACACAGGTCACACTTGTCACCAAGAGTGTGGTTCTTACACTGACAGATTCCTGATTCATTACACTGAAGAGAGCTAGATCCAAATTTGTTACATTCGCAAGGTGTACATCCGCCTGAAGTAAAGTTATAGCTGTAGGGCTACAAACATAACAAGAAATCCATCATAAATTAATTGCGAACACTATCCACGTTTACTAGCACTGTTCTACTCTTTCATAGCCAAGATTTCAATATCAATTTTCCTAACCGTCCTTTTTACATTCTTATTTTTTGCTTTGAGAATTTGGTGTTAAGTCAAAAAAATTCTTCTACTTGAAATCTATCCTCTTATCGCTTTCTGCTCGAAAAATGTTTATACTGTAAGGAGAAATTACTTGTTTCTCACTCCTGGAAGTGAAGGAGTAAATGCAAGCTCCATACCCTCAAGAGCTGACACAGTTACAGCGGTTTGAATTCATGTCAACCGTAGTTGAAGATAGATAAACAGTCACGACTTTACTAGTTCACCACTGACACTCAGTGACCGAGTCCGACAGCCAGAAAAGTAACACGTCATAACAGACCACCCAGTTTTCACGAAGTGAGTTATGGTATTCAACCACTAAACGATCCTAAATTGACTAAAATGATGACTGCTGGTCAAACCGTGAGTCACTGCCACCGAAAACAGTCATTTCTGGGACCCTCCACACTCGCACGATCACCATACACGTTAGATAAAACTTTCTTCTTTTTCAAAAGCAAAAGACGTCGGAAAGACTTCAACGGATTTCTAAAAGTACACAGCCGTACATATTAATAATTGTGTTTTGATAAAACTTTTCCAGACTTTTCGATAAATAATAGAATCTTGTTAAAGAGCTAATTACTTTCTCAGAGCTACAATGTATTGATTACCTCGCATCTGGAGCAGTTTAGCCCTGTTACACGCGGTTTACATTCACATTGCCCGGTTACGTGATTACAAACGTTATGATAAGCTCCAACACCATCACAGACACAAGCTGAAAATCAAAGTCGTTAAAAGTAATTAATTATAAATTTCATCCTTATCATTTTGCCCTACACTGTTTCTGAATAAAAAGCTCGATTTTAGTTGGCACTCGCATTGAGCAGACACTCAGAAGTAAAAATAGCTGGGCTAGATTTCTTATTAAATCCGTACGTCAAAATCTAACTCTGATTAAATTCACATTCATACCCCTGTGCTAAGAAATTAATGACTTATTATGGAATAAATACACATCATGGAGCAGTTTGCGGTAGACACCTCTCACATCAACTTATTATCTAATAATATCCTGCCGTTCAAATAAGAAACACGTTTTTCAAGGACTTTACCTTGACACTGCTGTGCGGTAGCGTTTCCCCAAGTTCCATTCTCACAGCGTTCACAGTGAAATCCAGTCGTGTTATACTGACAGTTCAAACACTCTCCAGTTGTTGTGTTACACACATCTGAATTATTGTTACACTGGCATCTTGAACAGTTTCCTCCCGGCATGAGTGGTTCGCCAAAGAACCCTAGCTGACAACTGTAACAAGACAGAAATGAGATTCAAGAAACGATGCTCCATCCATTTCTTCCATTCACGAGTTTATCTGAAAGTTCGACAAAGCCTTACCTTCCACAAATGTCTCCCTTGTATCCCTCAGAGCAGTTGAGGCACTCCGGTTGACCATCAGCTCCAGCTTTGCACAGAGCACTGAAAAAAAGATAAAAAAGAGAGAAAAAATGAAAGAGAAATCTTAGCTGCAATAACTCAGGTCTGTTACACGTGCAAGACAAGGTGAAGAGCACCGTGGCCTAACGGAATGAAACTGCCCTTCCTTTTTCTTCGTTCGTTTTTCGGCGTAGGGCGGTATGCGACAGGGGCATAGCGTCAGGTTTTTTCAAGGGGGGAGGGAGGGGAGTCCTACAAATTTCCGCTGCCCTTACGTGAGATGGCTTACACCGCTGCTCTACCTTGTGTATCAGCAGGCTCGTATTCGATATCAATGCCACGCCAATTCCTCAGATTCCCCATTACCTAAGCCCCTAGACATTTAAAACTTTGACCATACTAACAAAACTTGCAGGTAATATCGCTTTTGGGTACAATTCACTTTACTTCCCAACATTATCATGTACTTTAAACTAATCCATACTTACGTGGTTGTCCGTGGTTCCTCACAGGGACATTTCTTGCAGTCACCAGGAGTTCCATGAGTAGCGTTACCATAGAAACCATCAAGGCAGATCTCGCAGTGAAAACCAGTGGTATTATGAGCACAGTTCTGATGAAACAAAACATGTACAAAGCCCTTTAATGGTGTACTCGCGAAATTTTTCATGTTGAAATAGAACTATGCTTTTTTAACTATCAGTGACTAAACTTGATACCCAGAATACGGAAAGTTTGACGAATAACTCATTCTTTTAGAAAGGCATAACTCTTGTCACTAGAAAAAAAGGAAGCTACATCTTCAAAAATCTATGCTGTAAAAAAATCTCATTGTTTGCCAATCAAGTCTAAGAAATAGAGTGCTTTTACAAATTAATAACGACGGCCAATCGGAAGAGAGGAAAATATGTCTAAGAGCCAATGAGAACTGCGCGGGAAAATGCAGGCGACCAAGTCGTGCTTGGTTTTAGTTTTGCATCTGATTGGTTGAAAGAGCGACACAAGTTTTCTGGACCAATCACTGAGCGTAGTGAAGCAAAAACAAAGATATCGCAAATTACTTTTGCCACTCCATTGAAAATTGCTCTATCAGTATAAAAAAACTAATATAAACTTAAATGGAGAGAAAACTGATTCCTTACCAAGCACTGTCCAGTGGCTGGATCGCAGTCTTCTGTGTGTCCGTTACAGTTACAAGGCTCGCACTTCCCAAGAAACATGTCATCTGACACATTCACTCTGTGATACCCTCTGGCACATCGCTGAAAATTAGTATAAAATATTGTAAACAAGTACTGTAATCACTTATGATGGGGCAAAGATGATACATTATGGTTCAGTAAATAACTGGACAAACAAGGAAGACTCTTAAGAGAAAGCTTGAGAAAGCTTCCTCGTACTACTAACTGAAAACTAGTCTGAGCAATGTAATCATTATTACCGTACCTCACACGACAAACCGGTATAACCATCTCCGCAGTTACACTGCTCTACATCATAAGCTCTTCCTGCATCTGATACCATTTCGCTTACGTCATCAATTTTAACATCACCAAGGCTGGAAATGAAATTAAAATTGCACTTTCATTTCACGATAAAAATTTTCAACTCAGAAATGGTGCTTTATGAAAACCATTGCCACTTTATGCTGCAAATGATTGTAAATGTAATTAATGTCAAAATGGTCTATATGTTTTGTCAGCATTTGTCATGTGAAAAGTGCTAGTCACAAGGATTCTGCCCTCTCTTGAGGGTTACAAAACCTAGAACAATTTAATTTTTTTCCCAAGAAGTTTAAAACCATCCTAATACAAGCACTAGCTACACTTGCCAAAGAATAAGCTAAATTACAAATATACAAGTAGTTTTTAAGTAAAATATTTGAAAGCCAACTGACCTTGTGAGGTATAAACCTTGGCCAGCAGAATAAAATGATGCCGTAATAAAGAGAGCTTGTGCCCTGGCTAGTACAAGGAGGAAATCTTCCCTAGACACTAGTAATAAGCTATCACTGTAAACCCAAGCAATCTGAGAAAAAAAGGAACAAGTTGTGAGGAGTTAATACAATCTTCCTTTTAATTAATTTCATTAAATTTCTAATGAAAAAAGGTGATACTATTGAACAAAGAACCTACTTCTCTCATTGTCACAGTTCTTGCAGTTGCTTGGTCAGCAGATACAGCTGCTAAAGCATGCTCAATGGATATGTTTCTGATACCCTAGATCATACAAAATTGGTAAAAATTAAAGGCTAAGTACTTAACATCACAGATATCTAAATTATATTAGTTTGTGAGTTTTGCAGGCATAAATATTTATCACACAACAAAAATTATTCATAATTCACCTTCAAGATAACTTTTGGCTGTGACACAGCCAGAGTCCCATTCGCCAGTGGCTTGAAGAAAAGTTTAAAACTCATATTTCCTCCATAAGCTCCAATCTAAGGACAAAAAATTACAACATTACTATCATTCACTTGCACTGATGGGCATATTCCACTCATATCTGATGTTCAGTAAACTGTAATTTGACTTGAAAGGGTTCCTTCCTCAGACTAGGAATTCAGTTCATTCTTAAAAAAAAATGCCTCAGTTTTGTCCTCATTTACTTCACAAGCATTTGTTTGATGACCCAGGGTTGTATGTTATATCTGACAGTAAAGGAGCACTTTCAGTTATCATTAAGGCTTTCCCAATGTACTCATTCAGTTGTGAAATCATAATGCCAATAAACTGCAAAACTTGACACTTAGTTAACACCATATTCCTCTCAACTTTATCTGCTTGTTAAGTGTAATTAAAACTACAGAAATCATTCATAGTCTACATTTACATGACTAAAGGTTTCATGACTATATATTCTCTAACTGAATACAACATAACTCAGCACTAGTGTTCTCACCAGACTGTGATCAGTGAAGTTAGCACTTGCTTTCCAATAGAGCGTTTTATTAGTTGACACATTTGCTGCAATCATGGTTACTGGGACACTGTCATCCTAACAAAAATACAGATTTCAATGTAGGAGATTCTAATTCTGCTATTGAAACTAATTTTGAAAGATACTTTGAAAAAGCTAAAAGGGAAACATTGGTTATTTCTAGGGGCTTAAGTAACCCCTTCCACACGAGAGATGAATACATGAATATGGCATCACAAAATACTTGCAGTCTATTCCCAAATAGAATTTCAAAATAACATCACTCAACCATGCATCCACATCTTAATTTGCACCAATCTCCAAATAGTAAAAACGCTTTTTTGAACAAACACTTTCTTACCATTACAGAGATTTGAGAGACTTCTATGTAGTTCTGGTTGTCAGTATATGATCCCAATTTCCAAACATTCAGGTCAACTTGATTCTAAAGCAGTTAACAACAACTTTCAGTCATAGTTAAACATTTACCATACAATGTAAGTTCTTTTGGATATTCCTTGCAAAATTAGGTACTTATCAAACAATTCCATGCATCACATTTCTACAAGGCAAAATTTATGACCAGGAAAATGTCACGTTTACCATGCTGTCAGAATGATTCTAGGAAGTGGCAGAGTCACCAAATAGTTCAACAATAAATCTGATTCCTTCAAAACTTTCATCGATTAAACATTGCTAGTCAGTAATACTCTCTCGTCATTTGCACTGATGGCATGAAAAAGATGGGAGTTGAATAATATTACACACCATCCATAGCTCAGGCTTTAAACACTTTGTAACAAGTCAACATCAAAGTACACAATGATTTACAAGGGCAATGCAGTGAGATGATTTGCTAACATCATTGACAATCATAATCAGTGTCTTTCTTTCACCTTTTTTCTGTAATGTCTTGTACTGCTGCAGTTGGTACTGATTCCCATACACACACAATTTGTACATCCTTCAGGGTTACTGCTTGTCAAGTAGAAATACCCATTCTCACATCTGTCACAACGCAAACCAGCCGAGTTGTTCTGGAGAAAATTAATCAAAATGAATCACTAAGTTATCAGGAAATGTATAAACACAGATTACTCTAGATGAGTTTAGAGAGATTATTTTCCTTTATGTATCAGGCGTAATTTACCCAGAGACCATTTTGATCACTACTGTATTGGCAATTACTTGGAGATGTTTTGGTGTCAAGTGACTGCCATCTTAAAACTACATCTAACAGAAAAATCTTTAGTTTCTTTGACAGTCCATAGCCCAGCTTATTCAATTGCTAAAAAGGCTTCTGCACTAAATATCGCTGTGTTGTTTGAGCTGATAACTTTTCTTTATACAGTAAACACAGCAATAGCCTGTAGGATTTACACTTGAATGTATATTAAGTTAACATAAATGTATTTTTTCACTGAGGTAAATTAAATTTACACTGCCCTAACCTTGCAAGGACACTGCTGGGAGACTTTGTTACACACTTCACTCAAACTTCCATTTCCATTACAGTTACATGGAGAACAACCAGAGGTGGAGAAATTTTTGTAGCCATTCATGCACTCAGTACACTTCTCACCTTGTACACCAGGCTTACAGCTATAATGAGTTACAACAGAAAAATATATTGGTAAATACCTCACACTAACTGAGTTTGAGCCCCATACTGTAAGCTATGTATCCAAGTCTTTTTTTATGCACAGATTTATGGCCCAAGTACAAAGTGTGCAAGCCATAAATATGAGTGGCAAAAACAAGGTGCTATAACTTACAATATGAACCAAGAAAACAAGGTAGCAAATTTTTATTATATCCCTAGGTTCAAGAAGAGGAGGAAGATTTCCATTCAAACAAATCTTTGAATTTAGCAGACCATATGTAGTAAAAAATGGCCTGCTACATTGATATATCAAAGCACACATACTAACTGACACCAATTATCACGAGAAAGCTAATTAAAACTGACACTGGGGTTTAAGGTGAAAATTGATGGGAGCACTCCTAAAGACATTATAAGGAGCTCAATCAAACAAATGGGTTGTATTGGTACACGATCAGCTGCATGTTATAAAACATTTGCACAATACAGTCAAATGTGTTTTTATACTCAGAAAAGAAAATATGAAATTATGTACTATTATTTTACATCTTCTACCTGCAAATCCCTGTGGTAAGGTTACACTGCAAATTCATAGATCCAACTGAGCTGCAGTTACAAGCCTAAAAGACAAGTTTATGCAAGAAAGTTAATTTGAAAAATTTGGGTACCTTTCCAGAGAGCCAGAAATTTAGTTCAATGTTTCATCCAAGGGGAAGCATGTAAAAAAAATTACCTCACAACCAACTGTTTCATTCCATCCCCAAAATGTGTAATTACACTGATTGCATGTGCGACCAACAGTGTTAGGAGGACAGGTGCACTGGCCAGACTCCGCATCACAAATTTTATCCTCTCCAACACAACCACAAGCTAGAAGAAAAAAGAGGAGGAGATTGCATATTCTTTAAGGTATTTCTGGTGGTAATCAATCTTAAACATATACTTTACTCTACAAAGAAAAAACCTTCACATACTGCACATCATCTGAGTGAAAAGGAATTAAGTACAGCACAGTATACACACATCCATATGGGACAAGGACCAAAAGTGTCCTGATATACTGCTAGATTCTTCTTTCTATATTACCTGGTCTTTTCATGCAAACCACAAGAGTTCAATGTTCTATCAAAAAGCAATTTAACCCTTAATTTCAAGCATTCTTTCTGTTGAAACTACACCCTAATGTTATTCATCAGGGCCCAGTTGCATAAAGGTGGGATAACTTAATCCAATGGATAAATCGTCATCCAGTGGATAAGTGATAGCATAATGTATTACACTATCCAGCGGATAGAGAGTTATTCAGTGGATAGCACTATCCAACCTTCACACAACCAGGGCCAGACTTTTGGGCAAATGTAACAATAACTAAGTCATTTAAAAAAAAGTGCACCTAATTACCTGAACATCCCCTGGAGGTGAAATTGTAGAATCCTGCCATACACTGATCACAGGTCCTTCCAGTAACACCTGGTTTACAGTGACACTGGCCACCATACTTTTGACAGGTGCTATTTACCGAGCCTGTCATGCTGCAATTGCATGCTGGAAAGTAACATGCAAATAGAGCAAGTTAGTAACGCTTTAGCAAGACTAAAAAAAAAAACAAACAGTTGCTTTTTCTGCCTCAGTTCACAATTAACCAGATAGACAAATACAAGCTGACTAGTGAATCCTTAAACTGCATCTATAGGGTAAACTTGTTTACTGTAAAATGTACATGATAAGTTTCAAATTATTCCTTGGTTTAAAAAGTTAAGAAATAAATTTACTCGATTGAAAAACATTAGACAAAGTAAAATTTAAACCTTGCCATATTGCAGGGTAATGCATTCATTTGGTTTGCTAGGTAGCAATGTATGATTTTAATTTGGTTATGTCTTGTATTCCTGGAGATCATGCACAGGTTAAACGTGTGTGTAGCTACCATTTTGTGTTCTGGACAGAAAGGAGCATTTTATTGGTTACTTTTTTCTTTTAACAGAGCTGAAGCATTTTCATGACTGTCACTGTATTTTGTTTAAGCCAGAAATGTCACATTCTTGGGAATAATTTTTTTTTTTTAACCCTTCCTCTTAATTAGCTAAAAGTATACAACTCTAGATCTGGTCAGGATCTTTTGACTGTCTACAGCTTTGGTTGGATGCAATCATTAATAATTCTAAATTTTTGCAAAATCAGTGCAAAATATTGGCCTACTTTCAATAAGCAATTTAACATTGCTTGAAAAATGGAAACAAACATACCCAAAGCTCCTCCAAGGTAGTCTACCGTAAGAGAGAAAACTTGTGCAAGGCAGAACTCCTTGACAACTCCATCTCCCATGTTGTTATCTAACACAGAGCAATTTGCCAAGAATTCTGGTCCCGTTGAATTGTTTAATAATGTTGCTTGGTAGAATTCTTGGGGGATAGCTACAACTTCAAGGGGTTTAAAATCAACCACTGATGCAGGATAAGTGACGTTGACCACTAGAGTACCAGACAGAGACCTTTCTCCAAGTACTGCAGACAGATTTTGATAACATTTCTGGGCACAGCTGTCCAGAGAGACTGCAACTATGGTAGATTCCACACTTATCATAACAGTAACTCTTACTGCGCTGGTGTAAGAGAAGATGAGGGTAAATATACCAGTGGAGTTCACTCCTTGAACGATATCCACTGATGCTGACCACGTCTTGTTGCCCTAGAACAAACAGATTGTAAAAACAGTTTTAACTTAAAATTGCATTTTCATGTTACTTTGCTCTCATCAGAGAAACTCTTTTTATTTTGCAGTTAAGCAAATGTTTTGCTCTTGGTGGTAAAAAGTGTTGTTGCTCAATCTGCAGAAGATAACAAGGAAGGATTAGGTAATATTTTAAACTTTCATTACTACCTTATTAATATTAACAACAATCATACCAGACAAAATTGTATAAAGTTGTAGCCAAAGGTTTCTACTCAGTATCTTACACTCCAATGCAATGATGGCTTAATCCATACCATTTTTTTTCTCACTAGAGGCATTTTGTGAATACTGTATACAATATAAATGATTAAAAACATAAATACCTCTTGAGAGGCAGAAATATGATATCCATGACTTCTGATAAAATGCAGGGTTGGAAAATAAAATTCATCCTTAGGACTGAAAGAAAAAGAACGAGAACTTAATTACCTGAGTGTACAGTATTTGTTGACAGGTATTGACCCGATCACTTACTAATTATGTTGAGCATATACAGTGATAGCATTGAAGGTCAGCTTTATTCTAAAGCTTTTCATATGAACAAAATATATATATATGTGTGTGTGTGTGTGATTCATGAGGTGGGAGGTCTGTATTGGGAAAAACTGTGCCTGAGGTCTTGGATAATGATCAAGGCATACAGACCAACCTAGGCCAGTGAATAACATTTTTATTTTTTATTTTAATCTTTCTTGACAAAAAAAAACAAAACAAAACAAAAAAAAACAAAAAAAAACAAAAAAAACAAAGCATCTCTATCTTCTTCAGAACAGTAATTTTTCCAAACCTGTTGCATTGCCGCTGAGTAACATTAGCTTTGCATTTACACTGGCCAGATGCCTTGTTGCACACAGGTCCATAAGACCCACCAACATCACAATCACATTCTACCCACAAACCAACAAATAAAAAGAAATCAGTAAAAATTACCAGCAACTGATAACACTGAATGACAATTATGATTCATCAAAATTATCAGCCTTGTAATAACTGTTATGTCATAAAGATATTGATCAACATTGTGAGTATAAAAATTTAAAAGACTTAGCCCCCCTTTATTTCCATTGTAAAATTGTTGCAAAAATTATCAATTGTTATTATCAATTTATTATTAAATTATCAACAGTTGCAAAGTTTTTTCCATACACAGTCATTGAAAATAAGAGGTGACAAAATTCTCAGAGTAAACATTAAACAAACTATAAATTAATTTAAATCAAATCCAATAGTTAACAATGAATGCAATTTATTAATCACCTGTACATCCATAGACGTTATCCTTGTGCAGGTCATAGTATGTATCTTTGCAATGCATACAATGATTTCCTTCCACATTTTTCTTGCAAGTGCAATGGCCACTTGCACCTGGCTCACAAACATTGGAACCATTTACTGTACCAGGGGTGTGACACATACATTCTACAAAACAAACAAAATAAACAATCTTATTGGTAAGCACACCTTATAACCAAGTTTAATTTTTTCATTTTTTTTTTTAAAGTTTTTGGCTACATGCTGATTCCAAACTTACTATAAACAAGGTCTTTACACAAAATGGTGACAGATGAAGAAATCACATCTCATTTGACAGTTACAATTGCAATATCCTTTAATACAGTTGGAGCACAGAAGTTTCAATAAACAGCCCTTTAAAAGCACTTAAACAAGATTGGACAACCCTAAATTAATTACTATTAATAACAATTTTTGAAAAAAAATTACAGCCTTGCCTTGGCAACCAGTAGGATTTTCTGTCGATAAATTAAAAAATCCAGGTTTGCATTGGTCACACTGTCTTCCAAAAGTGTTGTTTTTGCAGACACAGCTACCAGGTTCCTGAAGAAAAATTACAAATGTAGTGTTGGTATCAACAGTATGTTAATGTCACCATAGACCTAGTTTAGATAAACAGGCTAGCTTGTCACACATTTCCAAAATTGCAATGAAACACTTTGTCAAAAAGGAGGAACTGCTTGCAGTCTAGTAAGAACACAATAGAAGTCCTAACCTAATCTCTATTTTTTTTTAATCTGAATTCAGAACTGAGTTTTTATAATATACTACTACATCTCCTACCCAGGTCATGGTTAAGCAGTTATGTATTGATACTGACAATGCACTTACCATTCCTGGACGAAGAGGAACTGTATTCTCATCTCTCAAACAATCAAGATACAGCACTCCAGGGAGGGTTGCATTTTTTGTTCCTGCCACGCTGCAGTTACATGCTGCCAGGAGAAAAGCAACACATCAACTTTTCGACCATAAAATTATTAACAGAAGCAACACTTGGTGAAAAAAAATCCAAATATATATCCAAACAAAGATCCAATAACAGCATATAAAATAAAAGACCTTTGACAAATATAATTGTTTTCATCACTTATCATAACAACTATTAATGAGTGTACAGCTCATCAGTTGCTTAGTGTTCATAATTTTTGGTTTCATTTAAAATTTCATTAAATCAAATAATACCAATTGTACATATCTACTACATATTGTACTGTCAGTAGAAATCCTCAGTTTATAAGTTTTAACAATATTATACAAAGCTCCTGTGTTTCAGTTAGGGCCAGGCACCAGGTAAATTGACTGGTGGTGAAAATGACTTTGCACAGCTGCTTTCAAAATTGCATTCAAAATAATTAAATATAAGTTACTATCTCATATTTTTCTTAAAAAATATTTGAACTTATTAAATGCAGAAATTTAATGAGTAAAGGATTCTATATTTGCATTTGAAAACAAATTCATCTGCTGATTGATGTATCAAAAAACAAAAACCTTTTTGGCAACGGGTAAGTTTCTGCTCCAAATGTGCAAGAATACATATCTGTAGTTGACCAATTTCAAAACTTTCCTGGAAAGCATAACTCCGCATATTAGCTTAGAGAGATAGAGAAAGGCCTGCTGTAAACGTTAATGAAACCTCTGGGTTGACACAACTATGTATCACATGCTTCATTGTGATCAACATATATTACCATAATATCGCACAAACCTTTGTATAGTTTACATACATATTATGTATTATGTACCTAAATATTCAGTTTTGGACATGTAACAGAGATGTTAACAAAATCAGTTTTAAAAACAAAAGGGAAAACTAATGTAGTACCTCGACAAGCATCTTTGTCCCACTGCAATTTATTTCTTGGTCTGTAGAAAAATGGCTTGCACACTTCACAGTTAATCCCTTCAGTATTGTCCTACAAGAATGCAACAATAATTCACAAAATCAATTGTGACATATTCATTGAACAGTGTTGCAACAGAGAATAAAATATTTGTTGGTATGAGGTGTAAGTCACTGGTTGCCATCACTCTTGCAGCTTTGCAAACACACCAACTCTGGCCAGCTTTTGTGTGCTGCCTATACAGCCTGTATTTTGTTACAAATTCAAATAAATTTTTTCACAAGACTAACATGAAGCAGTACATGGTAAGGAAATCATAGGTAAAACAAGGATTACCTGACAATTTTGACAGACACCTCCACCAGAATAATTCCCATGGATGTTTAAACTCTTCTTCATCTGAGCTACTGTCTCGTTGTAAACACACACTGCACTATGGTTATGACAGTTGCAAACTATATCAAATAAAGAAAGAAAAAAAATTGAGGAGAGTAATAAAATCTTGCTATTGTAATTAACAATTGGTTCATGCGTCAGCGTGTGTTCATCGAGATATGAAGCACAAGGGAAGTTTGGAGAGCATGAAAGATACGTGAGAGTTGCTCAAGGCGTAACCGAGAGCAACTCTAGCTTCTTGAGTGCTCTCCAAACTTCCCAAGTGCTTCATATCTCAATGAACACACAGCTGACATATGAACGAATTGTTTAATAACATTTTCAACCCGATAGAAAATTTTTTTTCTCAAGGGATTTGTTTGCTGATGTCATGAGCATGCACAATAGGAATATGAAGCACGCTCGCACAATTGAATTTGATTAGACAAATTTACTAGCTATGTTACAATATAGTTTTTGTTAATCAGTTCTAAAATTTAAGAATCACCTCTCTCTAAATTTTCATACACAGTTACAAGTTAGTTAAATTTAGTTGAAAGGGATCAATAGCGAAAGAAAAATGTAAAATCATTACCTAGTAAACAGAGTTAATGGGATCAACTTCCTCAGTAACTTACGTTGGCATGCAGCATCCTTATCAGCCACAAGAGGGCCCCTGTTTCCTGGTTTCCATGGATACTGATTGTAGGCGGGACAGCATCTTCCACAATCAATACCACATGCTCCTTCTTGACAAACACACTCATTTTCACCCAGTGTATCATTGAATTTACAATCTATTCCATTTCCTTGTCCATTGCATACACAGTAGGCATCTACCTCAACTTCTCTTACAGCATAGTGATGCTATGGTATAAAATTAAGAACAAAAACAGGAGTTAATTTGAGACAACTTCTTTAATTGCCCGTGTCATTCCACAATTTAACATTCGCTCTGAAGTAATTTTAATTCTTCTCTCAATGTTCATGCTATCACAAAAAACTTCAAAACCAACAGAATAAGAAACATGAAGTGATTGAAACAAATTGAATATGTAATGGTTCAAATATTCAATTTCTTTAGTCTTGAAAGCATTTTGATTCTTGTTTTCTTTTATATCAGGTTTTGACAAAAGGTAAAAGGATATGGAAAAAAATTTAAAATTGCTTGAAAAAATAAATAACTGAAGGTTTAGGTCTACACATGAGCCAAGTGGGTCATACTGTTTGGGAAAATCTGCATTTGAACCTTTTCCCTAAAATAGGCATTATTTTGTATTCTCCACCCTGCTCTTCAAACATTTCCCATAGAAGTGACGAGGAGAATTTTTTGGCAATCAGGAGCCTCCTAAGTAGGTGATTGTTTCCTTTATCTGAAGTCAGTCACTCCTATAAGTAAAAGGGTTAATAAGTCTAATTTTCCCATACACTTTGGGAGAGTTAAGGAAGTAAAGTGTCTTGCCCAAGAATGTGACACAATGACCTGGCCATGCTTTGAACTTTGACTTCTCCTTGTCATGACCAAGGTACTGACCATTGCACCCACAAATCTCTAACACACTGGCAGGTGCCAAGAATTATGTGTTATTTACAATATTATTAGGAAAGAGCAGCAAAATCAATTGAATTAATAAATAACATGCATCAATTTTTATTCATACCCATTTGACAGCCAGTGGATCAAAAATGCGAAAAAGTGACATAAACTGCAAGCGCACATTGGTGACATTCATCCATTCCTACATCAAACAATTATTATATTGAATAACATTACTTTTCCCTATCAAAAAGCACTATATTAAAAAGTATTTCATAATCATAGTATACATATTAAGTGATAAAATGAATTCTTCTGATTTATGCATCTATTACCCTCACAGCTCCAAACTACTATAGCAAGTGATTCTCCTACATATTATAAACTGAGTTTTTGACAAATGAAAAATGTAGACACCATTAAAACAATCTTTTAACTCCACCTAGTGGTTATTTTGAGCCACTTGCTGGTCCCAAGCCTATGTAAAGGAGGAGGGTTAGACGTGTGGTCAGCAACCCCACCCTTGAAAAACACCACTTCTATAGAATATTTTGAGGACCTGCTCAACAGACCAAGTCCAGTAAAGCCTCCAGACATTCAGCCAGCAGAAGAAAACCTCCCTATAGACTGCAGAAAGCCAATTAAAGAAGAGATTAAGATGGCCATTTAGCTTCTGAGAAATAGAAAGGCTTCAGGATCTGACGGAATACTAGCAGAAGCACTGAAGGCTGATATCATGGATATCAATTAGAAAAGATGGCCCAGAACAGAGGTCTCTGGCAGACTATTGTTGATGGCCTTATTGCCTCAGAAGGAGCAATGGGCTTAAATAGATGGATAGATATGCTCACAGGAACTCTTCCTCTTAAACTGCTATTTGCATGTTCACTTCTTGTGGGGTATGGTGAAAGGTTAAGTCTGTACATGAGTCAAATGACCCATTCAGCTGAAGCTTATTCCAGTTTCCATAGCATGAAGCAACTACAAGCATTAATACTCCCCCCATGGGATGCCAGTCCAACATGAGGCTACCCTCCAGTATTTCATCAGGCTTCCCTGACAATTTTTCAGTGCTCAATCAATTACACTCCAGGGTAGAGAGATGCACCATGAGAGTAAATTGTTTTCCTCAAGAACACAACACAATGACCTGGTCATATCTAGAGCCCAGACCTATCATGCAGGAGTCCTACACACTAACCATAAAGCCACTGGCTCTCCCACTGTGGGGAATAGTATAAGGAACAAGAAAACATAATTCACAAATTCTAGCACTTGACTGACTTAAAATGTATGTTAATTTGCATATGTAAATATTTTTTCTCCGGCTGTAGCTCTGGTATACTTTAAGAGTTTTACAGTGATGTTTTGACAAAATTTAACTAAAAAACAGTAGAATAACAATTCAATGCATTATCAGTTAACAAACCAGCAGTTTATCTGAAGGATTTTCGACATCTCCTCTTGGTCCAACAACAAATAAAGACACCTGACAGGATGAAAACATCACAATTAGCTTAATGGAAAAGATGCTGTTCAACTAAGTATCACCAGATTGTTTGTAATACAATGCATTTAATAATTCTACCAGCAAATTTGATTGGTCCTTACCTGCACAAAATAGCTGAGTACTGAGGTACAGAGGACATTAACACTGATAATTTTCAATGTTACCATTTTTATTTTAAGGTGACATTAAATCCAATGTTGCAGGATTATGCCTTACAGTACGTAGACATAATTAAGGGCAATGTAACACAATCTTTGGACAAACAGACTGAGATTATGATGAGTCTCGGGCCATCTTCAGACTATGTGGCTGTTCACCTACTTGGGAATATAGTTGTAGCACTTAAGTCTGACCACTGCTTTAGGTTGATGACCGAGTATAATAATCTGAGCACCATTGCTGAGTATGAGCACTATCTCCAGGGGTAGTACTTGAGCACTGTTCCCTGCATGGAGATGTTCTAAACCGCTTACCATGTTTTCCCCATGATACCATGGAATGAGGAAATAAGGGAAAGATAAGCGAGAGCTAGATGGCCAATTCATTGACCTCAGCCAAAACATTGAAGCATTTGAAGTAAATGTGTAAAGGGTCTCTGTGATCAAGTATCAAAAATTGCCTGCGATAAAATGTTAACTTAAATCATAGATTACTTACAACATCATTGATATCCTTAGATTCAGTCGGATAAACAGTGCAGAGGACTTGGTCTACTCTGACAGGATTAGACTCAAGAGGTCTGTTAAACTTTTCTTGACATTCATCAGCAGTTGAAACAAAATAATGCCAGGGTTGATAACTCTGACCATAATCACTGGACTTATAGAAGACAAGTTGACCTGGTCGGTAGTATTCTCCAAATGTTATCACCAACTTGTTGACGTAATAATACTGATATTGAGATAAAATCACAAAAAAGAAATCAACAAACAAGTCTAGTGGCCACCCTTGCCTTAAAGATTGAAGTTTGAAACTTCACTCTTTTTTAAAAAATTTTTGACATTCAAGGATCCAGGTTGAAGATGAGACCAACAACCCACATTTGTGGGGTTATTGTATGATCTTAGCAGCTGTCTTACCAATAGTAAAACATTGATCTATATATGCCATACTTCAAAATGTAGTTCAGATCAAAATGATTGCAGAATGGCTAATTGAATGTTATTTCATTCATGAGATTATCTAGATATCAAAAAACAGAAATATATTTTATGCTTTCTAATTAACAAAATTCCAGGACTTCCTAATCCATCGGGTTCTTTTTGAGAGATGTATAAAACACTTTCAAAAAGAAGGTAAAGTAAAGAAGTTGCACAATATGCTATACTTAGAGAGGGACTAAACAAATCCGACGTCCAGCGTCCTGAAGTACTCGTTGTGTTCTTTTCATTGACAGTAAAAAGAAACATCATCCAAAAATACAAATTTTAGGGATAGGTATCAGTACAATAATACCAAATGTAATAAAAATAAACGACAAAAAACATTTTCCTCATTAATTAAATAATAACTCAGTTTGATACTATCAATGTTTGTCTGTTAACATCGACCGCTGCTAACAACAACAGTATTATATTAAGCCAATCGATTTTCTTCTTTTTTTTCCCTTTCTTTTTGTGCATCGAATCAATGTGAAGATATCGTATACTCTATCTTCAGAACCCCAGATATTATGGATCGGATCTCTTAATATTTAAAATTGTAATTTAACATTAGCGTATACAAAACAGGATCCAATAAGAAGCACAGCAGTTTGTAGGATAAATAGACTCATTAAACCATAAACTCGATACAAAAAAAGGAACATAAAAATTAACAAATTAGCGACTATTGCAGCTAACTGCAAAAGCCACAAGCGAGAGTTTTCCGGCTACAACCTTTAGTAACAGTGGAATTTAAATTGAATTTAACGGTATGTGTCAGAATCAAGGCGAAAGACCGATACGCCAAACTAAATTTGTCATGATTCGCGAAAATTAACTTCTCTCTAACAAACATTCAATCGAACGCGAATTCTACAACGAAATGATCGAGTGAAGAAGCCAAACGTGCTTAGCGGCAAATTACGATTCTAGCTCTCGATCGCTCTATGGCAACTGATCAATATCGGCGTAAATTAACTTCCTAAACTCATATCGTACCTTCTGATATTCTCCCCGCAAATCAATTGTGATAGATACTTTATCAATAGAGGCCGATGACTGCCACCACGTTTCATATTTTCCATCCACCATCTTCGATGCGTTGTGCGATAGGATGGAATCGGTTGCATTACAATAAGACTTGATCCTATATCTGGGTGATTTTTTTCTTTCCACAACACTGTAAAAAATTTCTGGCGGCGAACCACAAGTTGAGTTTGCAGTTATTTCCCTGTTACGGGCTGCATTAGCCGCCCAAGTTACTCCTGCGAAATGGATGACAACAAATAATACAGATATCAAGGCTGTTGGCCATATCGCCATTTTGAAGTTTTGGCGTTTTGATCTTTTGGAGACGCTTGCCCGCTGCCAAGGAAATGGAATTTGATAGGTGACGTAAATTATGCAAATAATCTTTTGAACATAACCCAACGGTTCGTCATCGCAGATCAAGGATTGAACTACATTCATATTCAAGCTTCATTTACTAGCAATCAGTTACTTCAGGGCAAAATTTTCAAAGATCGAAGGATTTTGAAAAAAAATTATCCACGAGAGCATGTGCAATCTGGGACGCGTACCTTTTACTGGAGAAAACGAGCGAGAGCCTGGGGAGAATAAGAATAAATCAGTAGTGTTTGACCTTCCTTGAGGACAAAGGCAGAATGCGAATTATTTGGACAGGTTGCCGAAAAAAGTTCGGTAAAATTTTCGCACAGCCCCATACTATTGTAAAAAAAATCTGTTTTCCCAATGGCAATCTATTGTTTTTGTCATTGTTTTCTCTATCCAAGAACTGAATGCATAATGTAGTATGGGGCTGTGCGGAAATTTTACCAAAAGTTCTAATCCATAATAGCCAAATAAACTGACTGATGATGCGTAGTGAAGGCTACGTTCCTCACTTTGCTGCTCGCCGAGAGAAGTTGACTCAGTATCGCACGGGTAAAAATGTACACGTGGAGAGATAATGAAATTTGCACGTGGACGTCTCCCTCTGCCGGCTTTTTTTCTGATATGGTACGGACCAGCGAGAGATAAAGAAATGATTATGGGTAAAAAAAAGTTAACAAAACGAAGGCGGCTATAAGCAACTTTATTTTCAGCTAATCGCTTTGTTGAGAAGAACATTAAGACAATTTTTTCAGTAACGAGTTATTTTCCGCCTATTAATAAGCATCATCCTTGAGCTGAAACGCTCTCACTGTCCTGATTCATGAGCCTTGTACCAAATATCGTCATTGTCTAGATGGTTATGAATTTTTCCTAATCACGCTGATTTTCAAAAGCCTCTCGAGACAAGTCGTTTTAGCAAAGAGGAATTAAAAAGTAAGGGTCTGCCAGGCATTTTGTCAGTTTATGAGGCAGTCGCGTCTTCTTGTAACCAAGGATGATCCATCACCTCAGCCAGTGTAATTCTTTCTCTAACATTAGCTGACAACATTTTTTTGATCAAATCTTTTGTCTGAAAAGAAAAAGAGAGAAAAACAAAGTGAAAGAAAGCTTGAGATCACTCTGTTGTGATATGGGTAATGCTTACTCGAGGAATTTTTCATTGGAAAGACTCTATTCTGGAATTTTTGGACGATATTTAATTGCTTAGGAGATAGTTTTTGGGTTTAGTTAGGGCTATTGAGTGTATTTCCAGTCAGTATACAGTAACTCGGTCACAATGGCACTTGGAGCTGAACCTATGGTACTCTAAACAATAGTACCTTGTGTGCCCTACCACTGTGGTGCAGGATCCATACAAACCAAAGGTGGCCCAAGCTCCACTTGTGAGATGATCATCTTGCGCAATAACAGCCATGGCGGAATTATAAGAGTTCGTATGGGAATATTTACGACCGCTCTATGGAATTAAAAAATACGACAAATTCTCAGTAAAAATAACTCACCTTACTTCCACAGCGTATCACTTGTTA